AAAGCTTTAGCAGCTGCAAGAGACTTGACCAAGTTTTAGCACATGCAAGAGACTTGACCAATCTCGAATCTTTCAATTGCAATCTTCAAAGCCGGGGCAGACCAATCGAGAGAACACGAGAAGCAACCCTCTCGCAAGATCCGGCCTGTCGACTGCCCAAGCGTGTAGCGAAGTGCGAATTCTCTTCGTCGGCTGCGAGCCCTCTCGCAGGACCCGGCGTGTCGAGTGTCTAAACGAAGTGCAAACTTTGTCGGTTCCGGGCGAGCCCTCTTGCAGGATCCGGCGTGTCGCGTGCCCAAGCGCGTAGCGAAGAAAACGCCTGCAAATGAAACGACAAAGCGCCGGTTCTCAAGCTTCAGCTTCAGAGTGAGAATGCGAAGCCCCAAGCTGGCACAAAAGATCTACCCCCTTAAGCTACTTCCGGGAGGGGGGGACCTCAAAAAAGTAAGTTACATTTTAGTGTGGGCCCCTAGGGGGTCTAAAAATGTAATTTACCACCCCCTATAGGCATCATCGAAGCGGGTAAGGGGCGAGGGCGGGGTCCCACAAACATGTAACGTGTTGCCTGGTACGTGCTTATTACATTTTACCACCCCCCTACAGTGCGTCGGCAGATCGAAGGGCTGGGGGGTGAGCAGCAGTTTGGAACAGCAGTTGGTCAGAGTCATCAGCAACAAAGAAGAACAGGAAACACACCCGGAGCAAACTGCAGCCACAAACTGCCAAGAAACAGGAACATACATGTTCCCTCCCAAGACCCAAAAGGAAGGCAACAAAGCGAAACCCAAACACAACAGAGGATCATCCACATGCCACACAACAAAAGAGAGGTCATTGGAAATCGCGCACAGCTGCCTGTTCTATTGTGCAGGAGAACAAGGATATTCAATGCTGTTTGATCCCCTCGTTGCTTGCCCCCTGCTTCCACGAAGTGTGTGATTTTCAGTATGCAATAATGTAATTCACTCAGGGGGACACCCCAGTTCCTTGTAAGTTGGGCATGTGGCAAAAATGCAAATTACAATTTGTGATATCCCCTGCAAAATCTGAGGGTTTGGATGCGTGGACTAATTGTAAGATACAACTTTTGACGTCACGTCTGCAAATCTCACCTTTTGCCTGCATCCTGAGACTGCAAGACAAAATCAGACAAACACAGACTCAGGGGGCTCAAAATATGTAAGTGCCCCACCGTGACTCAAAAAAGTAATTTACATGTTCGAGATTCGAGATCATTTCCCAGCAAACCACCCATGAGGTCTCAAAATTGTACTGTAAGTTATTTTTTTGAGGCCACCTCAAAGTTACTGCAATTACTTTTTTTGAGGCCCTCCACATAGTAAAATGTACCTTACAATTCACGGCGTCCCCGTACTTTTTGGGGTTGGGCTTTGTGTTTGTGATGATTGCCGTTGTGGCGATCGAGGGCCGCGCGGCCAAAAATAAAGGATTGCCGCCTGAGACCAAGCCGTAGTGATTGCGAACCAAAAACGAAATCGGAAAAAGTTTGTTTGGCAAAAGCCTGCAAATGATACGACAAAGCGCCGGTTCTCAAGCTTCAGTGTCAGAATGAGAATGCGAAGCCACAAGCTGGCACAAAAGTACTTTAAAGTACTTTTTGGGGTTGGGCTTTGTTCGTGATTGTCGCTATAGAAGAAGTTCTTTGTCACAAGCCCCTATTTCAAACACAAAAGCAGAAAAGATTCCAAGGCCGTGGATTTTGAATGGCAGGCCGGACAGACAAGCTAGAAAGAATAAAAGCACTTTTCTAGATTGGGCTTTTGGTTGTGCTGGTGTAGGTGTCGGGTTTTTTCCTGAAACCAAATTGTGTCTTGGTTCAGGCGAGATTGAAATAAAAAACTTTGCTGCCAATTTTTTGAGAAGCGTTGACGTTGAAACCAGAAAACTACACGCCGAGCCAAGGCGCAAAGATAAAAACTTTTTTTGGGAACATGCTTGTGCTGCAGAAGCAAGAAAACAGAAAACACAGAAAAGAGCGTTGAAAGTATCGCATGACTTGGTCATTTGATGTGGACGCTGGAGGAGTGGTTTGCTGGTCGAAAAACGACAGGTTGGGTAGGTCAGTCATTCGTTTGATGGCAGGAGTTGGCCAAAATCGATTGTGTCAATGAACTTGCAAATGGGGCCGCCTTTAATTATTTTTGTAAGGACGCGCCCACCGACACAGAGCTGGGCGATAAAATTTACAATTGCTTCGGGAGGAGAGTCGCACGTTGGATTGGCTACAGCCCGGCGTCGAGGCACATGTGTGTTTGCTAGTTGATGTATTGAGTTTGTCATATAGATTTTGGCTTGCTTGCGGAAGGTCCCAGGAACTTGACAGATTTCCAAGAAGAGGGCCAAGAAGCAATGGGCACGCGTTGCAGCCTCAGTCAAAAGCAGTTGGGCACATGTTGTTCAGTTGCTTGCAGTTTCGTCTCAATCCAGGTGAACCCAACGTCGGCGCACACTGCGTTCTACGAGGCAGGTGCTAGGAGGCAATTTTGTTTGTACCAATCCAAAGCTTGGTTGTGCCAGGCGCGCAAGAATGCCACCAAGCCGGCAAGATGTGTAAAGAAGAGAGGGCGACGTCAGGAGTTGGTGTTGCCGGTTTTGAGGGTTGTTTTGATTGGCTTCTGTTTATCGAATCCTTTTGGCAGGACCGGCCATGGACCATGTGGTCCTTCCCTCCCAACACTGGCTTCGAAGCGGGCAGGTGGCTTCGAAGCGGTCGGGCGCCACAGACACGAACAATTTTCAACGCCCTTCAACTTGTCAGCCATGACGCCGCAATCGACGACCGTCAGAACGGCCCGGGCCTCTAGCGAGAACCGGCCAAGTTGTGTTTGACGTTCGGCTTTGTCAGGCGCCAGACATACGGATTATGCGGCGGCACTGCCGCCATGGTCTCGCGAAGAGCAGCCCCAGCGGTGTGGCCCTGAGGGGGGGGGGAGATGGTGTGCTGAGTGTGACAAGGTGCCAAATGTCAAGCGTTTGCATTCTCAGGCCGCCTCAAAGAGTTGGTTCGTGTCACAATGTGAGCATGGTGTGAAGCATTGTGCTTTTGTCTTTTCTGCTGGATGACCTTGCTTGGCGGAGCAGATTTAGATTTCAGTAATCGATCTCCACGCCTTGGCCTTGGGTGCCGCTGCATGGATCCTCAGGTCACCGAACCCCCGAACCCGACCCTGCGGCAGAGCCGGGGAGACACAGATTGACTTTGTCGTCGCAGTTTCCACGTATGATCTCCTTTTGTGGTGCATCTAAATGTGCGTGACTGTAGGACAGTGTTTTGCCGGGGGGGTGGGACGCCTCAAGGCCGATGACCGGGTATAGTAGCTTGGAGGCCATCGCTAGTAAGGCCATCGCTACTAGGTTAGGTTGGAGGCCATCCCTAGTAGCTTGGAGGCACTCGCTAGTAGCTTAGATGCCATCGCTAGTAGCTTGGAGGCCATCGCTAGTAGGTTGGAGGCCATTGCAACGTGACGTCCAACTAGAATTTTTGAACTTGTGTTGCAGAGCCTCTCGTTGATGAGCCCTCTCCTTTGCGTCTTTGATCGACGAAATCCACCGGTGAGAATTGATTGTTGTGTGAGATTTTTCTTTGGGGCAGGGGCAACTTCGAAGCTGTTAGACTTGGCAGAGCGGATGCAGATGATCGATCTCGACCAGTGCTTCTTGAGGCATGAGTCTTGCGCCGGCGCTCGGAGGGGTTTGAGAGCAGATTTGGGGAGGTAACCCGACCTCCATTGCGACTGAAGCTTTTCGTTTTGTTGCAGGGTCGACGGAACCAAACTTTGTGCAGCGGCCACCAAGTTTGGGCGCCTGGACTTCCGGTGGAAACGTTTGGCGCCCAGTGGTCTGCGCGTCTATTCCTACCTTCCAAACTTCCGGTCCAACGAGGACAGGTTTAGAAGCAGCGCCCCTATTAGTTGGATTCGTTTCTGTCAAATCTGCCTTGCAGGAGCGCAGCCGGCTGGCCCACGCCCTCAACGGCAACACCGCCGCAGCTCCGCGTGGCTCTCAACCATTTGGTTTTATAGTATGTGATAGAAAGCGTTTGCAAGTGCTCTTTTTTTTTGGATTTGTTGTTGATGAGGACCATCACCTTTGACGCGGCTTTCTTGGAAGCCCTCCTTGGCGTTTCCGCTGGGGTGCCGCTTCCTTTGGAGCCGCCGACGCTCCGGCTTGAGAGGCGAGTTGAATTCGCGAATACGTGTCCAGTGCCCAAACGTAAAAGGAGTGCTATTTTTGACCATGCTTGCGCGACCCGCTTGTAGGACCCGGAAGGCCGAGTGCCCAAACTTGTAGAGAAATGCAAATCTTGCCGGCGCTGGCGGAACTCTCTCTCAGGATCTGGCGTGTTCAGTGCCGAAGCGCGAGGTGAAGTGCGCATTTTTGTGCGCGCTGGGTTGCTTGGCGACGTCAGGCAGGACATGTTTTTTGATGCGGCCGTGCCCGTGCCTATAGCGTTGTTGACATCTCTGTGTGTTTGTATATTTTGCTTGTGTGGTTGTGTGGCTGGGCCATGTGCGGTTGGGGCTGCTTGGGAAACACTGCTACTACTACATTGCTGCACTCGCTGCGCCATGCGCTTTGGCGATGTCTCAAACGAAAGTTTCTTGTGATGCGGCCGTGCGAATAGCATTTGTTGACATTTCTGTGCGTTTTTACTTTTTGCTTGCGTGGCTGTGTGGCTGTACCATGTGCATTTGAGATTGCGCCGACACATAGTTTTAAAGTCAACTTGCCGATCGCGCTATGATGTTTGAGTTTGTGACTCACGTGGGCTGGTGTGGAAGTTCGCAGTTTGTTCGCTTTGGGAAATTTACCGTTGCGCGTGTGCTCAGAAAAAATGAATTTAAATTCTATTCTTGTGCACGTTTTGCTTAAAGCTTGCGGGCCATCAGGGGGTCTAGGTTTGTTTGCCCAGAGTCCTCCTAAGTTCGCTCATTGTGGGGCTACAGCAGTTCTGGTGTGAGTCTAGAATCCCCCCCCAGGAATGGCTCATGTGGATCGACACAGATGTCAACTTCCCGATCCCCTTCGACCGGGATTTGGTACGCGAGACCTCTACAGCAGGCTGGCCGGGGTTGGGTTATGCATGACAGGTTTGCTGATCAGCATGCTACGAACCACGTTTGCATTGGACCTCAGCAGAAGGCTGACCACACACACACACACCTTTGTTTTGTATAGATCCTCAACACCTAGCAACCTAACTTAATCTATCCACGCCAGCATCGTTGGATCCGGATTCGGGGCCCGTTGGCACAGCGCCCAGGCGCACATCTGGGCTACTTGCCGAACAACGCCCCGCGACCGGCGCCTCGGGCGCTGAGGGCTTTGGCCTTGCTCTTCGGCTCTGGCGAGAGGTGCGGCGGATCGGCTCTGGCGATGTCTCGCACACGTCTTTGGATGGTCTTGACGGACCAAATGGGGCGGGAAACAAAGCAATCACTGTAATGAATCATAGTAAAAAAAATAACTCTAAATATTATATAGGGGCACGTTGGATTTTTTCTGAACATATACCACACGCATACGTACACACGAGTCTGCAGTGTGATGGTGAAATTCGTACTTGCAGTCAGTATGGTTCAAAACCATTATTTTGCCATTGCTGCTCCACAAGAAAAAAACGTTTGTTGGAGCCTGACATCATCGGTACTGCTCGATGTTTGGCACTTTAAATTATGTTTTAATTAGAACATGTTGTTCATCGACCTTGCTTACTTTTGCTGTAACCAGTAGCATCTTGCTCTGAAACTCACCCAAGTGATGTCAGGGCCGCCGCGCCTGACGAGAATTTCCAAGACAGTCCGTCTCTGAGAGCTCTTCCACCCCACCATTCCGGGCGTTGGGTTTTGTGCAGACTCGCCTGTTGTGAAGCACAGGATGGATCGGAATTGGGAAGCTCCCAATGGACATGAGAAATCTTCTGGGATTTATTGTTGACCTGGACTGGAAGGGCAAATGTTTCAGTTTCCTTCAAATTAAAACCTGGACAGTCGTCATCATCCATCGCAAGAATGTGTCAGCCGGGGCCAAAGGAAGAATGGCCCAAGAATGCTGTGTTTGTTTGGCTGATTTCCTTCCTTTCGAGAACCCTAGCTGAGCAGCCAGCCTCGACTCGGTACCCCGGGAAAGCTGAGGCACGATCGACCTGAGTTCGCGCGTGCTGGTGCTGGAGATCGCCCCTTTTAGGCACCGACGGAAGAACGGCACGATGGGACGCGGCTGGCCTTCTTCCGGACGGAAGCATCCGGCGCGGTTCATCTTCGGGGATGGTGAAGCAGGTTGGGCGATGAGGGTGCCAAACCTACCAAGAGGTAGATAGTTTGAAGTGATTTTTGGATATCTTAAGTGCATTGAAGAGCATGATGTTGTCAGTTTTTGACTATCGATGTAGATATTGCATGTGAACGCGGGATCGAGGAGGGCGCTGAATTCTTTTTCAACCCTTCTTTCAGTCCATAGTGTTCAATACATCCACACTACAAACCCACAGCAAGATCCTAGAAAACGCTCCCTTCCGGTTCCCTTGCGCACGCGGCGCTGCCACGGGCTTTCGCTTGTTTTGTGTGTTTCAGTCGAGGGACCCATGAAGCCATGGAGGGTTCTAGCACTGGACACAATCGCCACGTCTTGGAGAAGCAGAAAAGACATCAAGTCAATGTCAATATCAAACCCCTAGTAGCTTCTTGTTCCTAGTAGCTACTTGCTCCTAGTAGTACCTAGAAGCGATGCCAGCAGCCCTTAGTAGCTTCTTGTTCCTAACAGAAGTATTGTTTGTGACATGTGCCTCAAAAATATTTGATGGATGATGTTCTTACAGGATGAGGAGAATGCTATTCTTGGTGTTCCTCTCGGCGCCAATCAATCCGTCCAAGCGACATGGAAGCCCAGTGATGTGTTTTTGGTCTCCCTTTTTTGGGGGTTTGCCTTTTCGTAGGCTGTCGCCAGATTTAGTCCGGCGTACACTCACCGGACAAAAAGCAGACTTAAAGAAGAACTGTCTAGAGTCTGGACAGTTTCTAGACAGTTCGTGAAATCTACATGGATCTTGTTCGTTACTAGTAGTAATGGCCTCCAACCTAGCGATGGCCTCCAACCTAATCGCTTCTAGCCGTGATTTCACAAACAGGGCATGACACATTCATCCTGCGCGCCAGGGACGGAGCCGTGCAGCGCTTCGCCCAGTGGGCCTTGGACTTCGGACGCGAGGCGGCCAATACGGAGGTTTGGCTCGTTTCCGGAACGACGTTTAGTTCGGTTTTGGTGCGATTTTGTGGTAGATGGTTGAGATTGACAGCATCTATTTTTCTTGGTCAGTGTTTTGAGATGTTTTGAGCATACACATTCGGCGAACACTTGTTTGGTTGCAAGGAGTTATCTCATTGTTGGCGTGAATGTGGTTCCAATCCTTTGATCCCATGAAATTGCAACACTCCACCCCCAGTCTGTTGACAAGGACAGTTCTTAGTCGTTGCTGCTCATTTCGTTCGAAGAAGACTTCAACAATGCTGCCACAGTCCTGTGTGGCCGTGCAGTTTTCTCCCTTCGGAGCTGTTGCTTTCGGCTTTCGATCCGGAAGCTAAGCTAGAGTTTGGTGATATGTGATATCTCACAGGCAGGCTCCCGCCTGACAATGAGAAGAGCTAATATGAGAGAAGTAAAACAATCTTTTGGACGCCGAGTTTCATAGGTTCTGGTGTCAAGGAAAATCATGAAGAGGGGAGGGCTTTGCTACTAGTAGCTTCTTGCTACTACGTAGTAGCAATGGCCTCCAACCTACTAGCGATGGCCTCCAACCTACTAGCTTCTTGCTGCTACGGGTGGTGACCCGGCAGTGATCGGTGTTAAGTCCGCTGGTCACTTTGACTCCAAGGCGCCCATCTGCCGCTGGGGCGATGCGGCGCTGCGCGGGGTTCAGGCGCGGGGTCGCGGAGAGTCCCACCCGGCTTCAGGACAACAGCTTGCAAAAGCCAGGAGGGGGACCCCAAAACAAAGAGATTTAGGATGTCTTAGGATGGTTTCAGGGTCTATGCCTTTTTAGGTCTTTTTAGGGTCCAGATCGTGTCAAAGACCAGGATCCTCGTGTGCTGCAGAGAAATCGAGGGATATTTCAATCGTACCGTTTTTGGCAATTGAGCGCATCAAAGCACAAAAACCTGACAAAGGCAACAAAGCGGTGGAACGCCCATAGCACTCGGAGATTCTTTTCCTTTGATCCTCCTTTTGGAGACATGGTGGTCCTTGGAGACAGGGTCTTGAAACAATGGTGCGACCCCAATGAAAACATATACACATCTTCTATTATTACGTATTTCACACTCACATATACAGTAATTATATATATATAGTATCCCCTATGATGTGAGCATCCTGGCTTTGGTTGAGTTGACACTACTCAAGCCAACCTGAAGCCTCAAGCATAATATGTAAGTGTTCTTTATGATGTGTCTTCGATCCCAACTTGACACACCACGTGGTTGTGGAGCCCTCCAAATAGCACCCCGCCAGGCTTGGCTGCTCCCGCCGGAGAAGCGCCACGCGTGGCCGAAGCTCGCAGCCCTCAGGTGCCGAGGGATGGTCGGAAGATCGGAAGTGAAAGCGATGCGTGGCGCTTGTTGTGCCTGAACGTGAGGTGATGAGGGGTCAGTCCGTCACCTTCCGGTGGTTTGTTGGAAGACCAAACTTTCACGGGTGCTCATTCTCCTGGGGATCAAGGATCGCTCGGATAACGCCAAAGGCCCCTAAATCATCTGTCATCTCAAATCATCTCACGACCCTGCCAAGCACCCGGCAAGTCTCTAGAATGACCAACAGAAGTTGTTGGTCTTGCCACATGGTTTTGTAGGCCAGCATGCTCCATTGAGTTCCACCTTTATCACTTTATCATCTATATCACTTATGTTTGAGCACTTTTGAGGGCTGTCGACGGTCGAGTCTGCCCGAGTCTGCAGGTTTGTGTCGCTACCCCGAATGGTAGGTCACAATGGTAGGCAAACAGATGAGGTAGTCAGCTGTTTGCACATTCCTGAAGAAATGCGATGATTTCATTGCCCGTTTGAGACAAATTTAGCAGGCTTCGTGCCACAATAGCCAGAGCCACTTGTCAGCTTTTGCTAACCTCGCATTGAAAAACCGAAGGCTTTTAGTTGATTCACCCTAGTTTGCGCGCACTTTTTCATTGAAACACATTGAAACACTACCTCGACCGGACCAGCTATTTTGTAGAACGTGCCTAGTGCTGACAGGCTTTTGCAGAGAAAAAGCCGCTTCTGGGCCTCTAACGTTGTTTAGGACCAATTCTCAGATTGTGTGTCTCAACCACGGGGTGCCCATTCCTTCAGAAAGCACTTTTGTTTGAAGCTCTGCGGTGCTGTTCTCCAGCCAGGCAAGACACCTCCATCGACTGAGAGGGCGGAGAGTTGATCCTGCGGAAAACGGAGGATGTCGCCACGAGCGCCTGGTGGCTGGGCCGGTGAAGACCGGGTGGAAAGGACGGCGGAAACTGGTGCCAGGGTTGGGTGTTTCCAGTTCCTGGAAAGAGGTGGACCAGGGATCCACTGACGATCATACTTTACAAGCCTGGCATAGAGAACTTGGTCATGTGCACAGAACATTTGTTCCTCCCTATCAACCAAAGTAGCAAGTACTATCAAGTACTGCCACCTTCATTAAGTTCAGCTATACAATACTTCAGAGTTCCTGGTGCAGGAGATATGATATTGAGATATATTGAGCATATGCTGCCATGCAATGCAACTTGCAGACCTTGTTGTGCTTTCCAGCAAAATGGCCCACAACGATGACGAGCTTGAAATCGCTTGATGGAAGGGCCCCGATCCAAGAAGCTCCGAGGCCAAACCAGCTGGGACAAGGCTCGCCAAGATCGAGAACTCCTCCAGGCGCCAAGATCCGGGGCGAGATTAGAGGAATGACGCCCCGAGACAGACTTCCAAGAAGACCCGAGAACGCGGATCACCCAGAATTACCCCAGCATGCTTTTCTTCTTTCTTGGTGTAGATCTTGCAGTTTCAGCCACACAACAAAAAATCAAAGTCCGACGTGGCGCAAGCTTGCGGTCCTGTGGCGCACCTGTTAGATCGGTAGACCGACCTGTTGGACGAGCGAACAGGGCCATGGATGACCACGGACATCCATGGCCCGTGCTGAGTGGCCAGGAACAGAATGAACGGCTTGACCTTTCGGTGTTAGACCTGCCCTGGGGCCGTAATCATGGAAGTCTTCCGTCGCACGAATTGATACAAGTCGAAACGTGACCAAACAACTGGGAACCTGTAGGAATTGGCTAAGCAGCTTAAAAGTTATGATATTTGCGAACTTGCATGGTCTTCGCCTCGAGTAGTCGGATGTTTCGAAGGCAACGTTCAAACCGTGTTGGTATGCTTCCATTTTGTGCGCTTGTGCTTCTGTGATCTTCCGTGACCTAAGTCTTTGCTATCACGAGGGACCTGGCGGTTTTGGATGGTTTTGGTGAGAATTTCATATGTGTGTGTGAGACCCATCCGAGGCCCATCTCCAACGAGTTCCCCTGAGTCGACCTCCGGGATCCGAGATCTCGACGAACGCGCGACGTGTGACGTTCCAACGAAGACGTTCGCAACATGAGCGACCGGTGATTTGGCCGGAGTTCTGGGAGGCAAGGCATTCCAATTTCTCATTTATTAAATACAGAGTTTACGATATACAGTACATACATATACTACTTATATATACTGTACACACTTAACTCTCAAGCATCTGTGATATTATACTTTTCATTCAGTCTCCGCTTGTTAGCAACAAACAAATATATACACACACTATGATACATACAAAATATAAGCCCATAGTATATCCATTCTATGCATGCATGTCAACTATACCTTAGACGCGAAGTGCGCGTGTGGCACCAAAAACACCTGGATGTGGGACATATACACACACACACACCCAACGGTTGAACGGACCGATCCGATTGTTGCCTCAGTATTGTTTTGCTTGACTTCGAATGCCAAAATCTTGAGCTCCGGAAGATGGAACTGTTTTGATAGCGTGTGGTGTGGTGTACCCATTGAGCAAGCATTCTGTGTACCTGAGTCCTGTTTCTGTTTTGCTGGAGGGTAGATTGAACGACTTTTGAGTGACCTGGGGGAGGAAGACTGACCTAAAAACCAATGGCCTCACTCAGGGGCTCAATGAATTCGAGTCCTTGGTTCAGTTGCGTTAAATCATCCAGATTGTTCGCTTCCATGATTGCTTCGCCGCTGCTTCTTTTCAGCGGTGTCCAGCAGCTCCAGCGCAAGTCTGTCCCCCCCCCTCCACAGGCGGAGCAAGGGCCGGTGTTGTGGTATGATAGGACTAGGGAATGTGATGCCCTAGCGGCAACGTGACTTGTGCTACTGATACTACACTCCGCCTCCATGGAAGTGGATGGCATTTTCTATGTAAAGGGAAGTAGTCTTCCAAGGGGCCATGCCATCCGCTTCCATGCTAGTGAGTTGGAGTGTATTAGACATGTTTTGGGGGCGTCCTTCGACTTTTCAAGTCTTTGGCATCGGTCAGCATGTTCTTGGCATCTGGCCAAATGAACGTGTCCTCCACCACCCGGGTCTATGGTGTTGCTTGAGGACCACAAAACGCATCATAATGGGGTTTGATGGCCATATTACATATATTATGTATTATATATATTGATTGATTGATTAAGTTCTTTTTGGGGGGAAGTCCTGGAGAAGTACTGACCTATAGGCATACTATATGGCATTTCGCCTGTTCGTTCAGCATCAGTTTTGATTTCTAATTTGTGCGGTGCGAGGTGCAGGCTGGTTGTCCCATTCACCCAAACCATATTGGGGTATCAGTCAAGCTACAAAGTGCTTGAAACATGGATCAATTTGTTCTTGGTTGGTTGGAACCAACAGCAGCGCTTGGCACTTACTTGGATTTGAGCAATGTTTGCCCAACACCGTGGGAAAATGTTGTAATCCTCTTCAGTAGTGGACCACACTTTGCTGCAGAATCTTCAACAAAACATGAGTGATTTGCCTGTCTTAAACATGCAGTCCATGTGCCTTTCTCACCTTCTAGTTCTCCATTCATCACATGGTTATTTTCAGCGCCAAAGCAAGGCGCGCCATGGCGAAGAGCAAGAACCATACTGGTCACAATCAGATCTACAAGTGGGGGGCCTCAACACGACTCCCGCATTTGACCGATTTAGTGTTTGGCGCAGTTCACCAGTTCCGTTCCGTTCAGCTGACATGAAGCTGACAATGTGGGATTCTCCCCTTGGGAACAAAGTGAAAGTGCCATAAAGTCAAAGTGAACTCTCAGTACATTGTTTACTCCTCCATGAAGACAATGAGGTGACCCACCCTTGGGGAAACCTCACCTCGCCCTGAGCCAAATGGGGCTCCGTTGGAGCCACCATGTAGCTGCGTTGTTTGGAAGACGTCCTGGAGGCACTCACAGAGAAGCCGTCAATTTGGCCATCCATTTGGCCTGTGTAGCAAAAAAACACAGTGCGACGAGAGAACCTCAAGCAACATTTTTTAAGTGTTTATTAATGTTTTTTAGTTTCTAGCCGGCTAAGGTGCCCCGCCCTTATTTTTCCTCGGTGGATGTGGGAAAAAGATATCTTTTCTCCACCATGTCACATTCCCTTGCAAGTGATATAGGTAGGTTGGTAGCCGCGAGAGCAGTGTACGAGAAACTCCACAACAACGATGTAACGATTGTCTATTGATTTCATTGACCAAAACCGAAGTTCGCCCAACACACCAGGCATGGGGGCAGCAAAGTGGTCAATATCCAACAGCTGGTTAAAAAGGCAACGTGCACAATCTGTAAACCTGAAGAAACAATATGAGTGGCCAACAAACCGTATCCCTTGTTGACGGCGGATCAGGAGGGAACACATTGAAATCAACTCCTGGGCAGATTTTGCTTCTTTCGTCAGAACAGCCGCGGGCCTGACAGGAATCACCGCAATGGCATCAAGAAGACTCGCAGGCGGTTTTGTTCCGTGCAGTTTTTGGTGCAGGGTGGTCAATGGAGGAGTTCAAAGATGCTGTCAAGCAGAGCTCCAAAGCAGCCAAGTAGTGGGGGTCTCACGTTGGTCGTCCCAGATGGGCAAGCACGCGAACTGGTAGGCCCCGGAAGATGTCCATGGAAGGCATGAACTGCCGCTTTGTGCGCAACCAGGCGGGCACTGAAGGGTTGATGGGTTAGGTTAGTGAGTGTTGATTCCGGGTGTGATAGATACCAGATCGTGAGCATCCCCCCATTGGTTGCGGCGAGTCCTTTCGATGTGAGGCGGTGGAATGTGCTTTTTGATTTGTTTTTGAGGGGGTTCAACCGTTCAATAATAACCGTTCACTAATATATATACTGGATAGTTTCCTCAAACCCGACCGCTGTCTTTTGGGGAGTGTTTTGGTGCTTGCAATTCCACTTCAATAACCTTCGTCTTGAGATCTCTTGAGTAATTGGCCATAATTGGCCACCCTGGGATACCCTGCATGGAATGTAGACCGGACGCGAAAACCGATACCGATCTCGGAGGCCTTTGCCAAGCGCGGCATGCAGAAGCTCTCTGCAGAAGAGAAGGCATTGGAATGAGAGAATTCGGAGGGAGACCATGGTGTGTACTCGTGGAGGGAGACTCTCACCTGATTGGGGGGATGTCCTGATACACACCTGAGAGACGCAAAAGAGAACCTGCGCCCAAAGTCTACTGCAGGTCTCCAAAGGTCTTTCGAGGTGGTGATCTGTGGGAGGTTGTTAATATGAATCTGAATACGCAAGACTACGCAACATGTTCGGAAAAGGAACACCCTCGGAAAGCAGAGCCAGAAAACCTAAAACCAAGGCACGCGACACAGTCCACTTTTAGGCTTTGCCGTGTCTCCACTTTTAGGCTTTGCCGTGTCTCTAAAAGTGCACCATTTTCAATCAAAACCGGGTCAAAAATCGTGGAACTATGCTTTTCATGTACTACCTCAAGACTAACAGGATGTTCTGATTTGGACACATGGTGTTCTTTTTTTTGGCTCGCTGGCATTATTTTTGCACATTGTTAGACTTGACTGGATCATAGCAAAGGGCAACGGTTGCTTCTAATTGCCAAGTCTGTCTTTGCCGGAACTTCCAGGTGCTGAGATGTCCTTGTCCGGGGTTGGTTTTTGTCCTTTTTCCAGCCGCAGACTCCGTAGACAGTCAGCCAAGTTTGAATCATTTTTCAACTCAGCACAAGCCAGAAGAACATCTGCTCAGGCACTGGTACATTGGTGTCCGTCAGTTCTTGGTTCATCCAGGGTGGAATAACATCCAAGGCAACACCCAAGTTGAAGGCACTGTGGACGGTGTGTTTGTGTGTGTGTGTGTGTCACCTCCTGTTTCCAAGGCACTT